CATCAGTTTATACGCTTTTAAAGTTGAAAAGAGGGGGGTGAGGGGTACGACAGAAAACAGAAACAGAACAGTGTTAGCTTGTAGGTTCACATAGCAACTCAAAAAACAAAAGCGGTTACAGTCTATGAGATTAAGATTTGTTCAGTGAGTTGAGATCGCTCAATTAGATGACTAATCAAAATCAAAATTCAGTTACGAAGGCAGTGAGAGGTTAATCACACTCTCTTTCTGTTTGCATAATTCTGGTTGGTTTGAATCGTTTGATTGTGATCGCTTCGGCCAATCGTAGTAAATTTGCTGTCCTTTGTCTATTCAATATTTTGAAGGACTTAGAAATCTCTACGAGATTTCCGGAGTCAACAATATGTCTGGTAATTGCACTCTGAGAATACTTGCTTCCTTTCAAGCACAGATTTCTTGGAATATGTTCAGAAAACCAGATAGAAGCCCTTCTTTCTTTCCTTCGAATGTACTTACTCCCGCAAGTGCACGTAAATTCATAAACGCAGTTGGAGGTGACATCAGCAGGGTATCTGTCCAGTTTTTATTGGCTTATAGAAGGTATGGTGCTGTGTAATGTTATGAGTTTTGCTGCAGGGAAGCTTCTTTTTATTGTTAATCTTTTGTGACACTGCATCTCCTTTTAATGGGAGACAAATAAACACTTTTTTCTTTTCTACAGTTGGAGGCTTTTCTTTCTCATCTTTTTCTCTGCTGTACTTCTGTATAAATCCCTTAGGGTATCCATTTTCCCTTAGGCATTTCTCGACGAAATCTAATTCTTCTTCGAAACTGTTTGGTGAACATAGCTTCCTGGCTCTGTTGTACAAAGTCCTCACCAATCCACATTTACAGCTTATGGTACAAAAGCTGTTACAACGAAGATATCGTCCAGTCCAGGTTTCTTTTCTATGGATGGACTTTTCGACCATGCCTTCGTTTGTTCTTTTTACATTTAGACCCAGGAAATTGAAATAATTATTATGTTCATATTCCATGGTGAATTTGATATTTGGATAGATCTCATTTAGGCTATCATATAATGCCGATGCATGATCCATATCGTTGCAAACAACAAATGTGTCATCAACATATCGGTGGTAGTAGGTCTTTCCATTGGTGGCAGAACTCAGTTGTGTCTGCTCAAGCGGATATTATAACTATTAACTTATTTATTGTTTATCTATAATTTCTCACAAGTCCACCTGTTTTCAAGGATATAAAATTGAAATTTGTGGCATCTGGAACAATATGACTGCAGAGTTTTCGGTGTGATATTAAAAGTGGAAACATTATACATAACTTTTGTTCAAAAAGATCCATTGTAAAATATAAACAACTTTAGAGTGCAATCTAGAATAGAGAGTGGTGCTCGACGCTTCGTCTTCTCACTGCTTCGTACTATCTACTTGCCTCACTACTAACCGTGTTGTATCCTTTGGATTTTACAGGAACCTTCCATCCTCATCCGAAGACTATTCTGCAACCGGTGCACATCTTCTACTAGTAGACACGACTCCATCAGTGAACACTTCTGTGGATTATATTAATAATTCGTAGCAGTACGCTCTAACTGTATCACCAAGTAATCATTAGCTTATATAACTAATATACTGTAACATTATTATCCCATGAATTTGGATTTATATTCTGATATTTTGTACCTTTACTGAGCTCGCTATTAAGTCCCCTACACACTTTTATCACTAAAATAAAGGAATTCAAGTTGATGAACTGCAAGATTCACAAGTAATTAAGTGTATTATAAACTTTACTCAGATAATAACCGAGCGTGAATAGAATTTCGAGAATTTTAAGTTATATAATTAGTAAGGTATACTTCCTAGTTATCTCTCAGAAAATTCTACTTGATTCCTCCTTTAAATCTAACTTTCTTAGAGCGTTTATTAGACAAATCTATGAAACATTTATTTCCATCTTTGGGAAGTTTGCAATAAAGAATAAATACAACGAATAAGCCAATGAGGAAAAATAATGATTAGGATAATAATGTCAGTAAGTTTAGTGATTTTTTAAAGAGTGTTCCTCACAACACTTAATAATAATAATTTCGCTTTTATTCCAGAAACAGTACTTGTGGTACAGTGTGGAATTTCCAGCACATATCTACAATATTGCATCTAATTTCGTCGCACATTTAAAAGGAGTATTACGAAAAAAATAAATATCAAAAACAACAACAAAAACAAAAAGAAACACAAAATTAACAAAAAATGCAATTAAAAATACCAAGTAGAAAGGAAGATAAACACCGATAATGAAAAAAAAATATTTCAGTACTGGGTAGTGGAAGCTATGATATGTGTATGCGTGGTGAACAGTAACAGCTATAATCATACAAGAAGTTATGAAATGTTCTTAAGAATGTTTATAGCCAAGATGATCAGTTAATTTGATTGAACAACACTAAACAATCATAAAATAAACATTTCAGGTTTTTTTATTGTCAGCATTAATGCAGTGTTTGTTGTGATAGTGTGAGTTATCATGCATAATACAAAAATTTTAGGAAGGTGATAACGGCGTTCACAACCAAGATCGCCAGTTTATTATTGCCGAACAAAAAAACAATCACAAAAACTAATATTACATGAAGGTTATCGGCAGGATAATTTTGTAATACTCATAGTGCTAATATAGTCGGAACCAGTAGATACACAAAAGAAGGAATAGAATAAAGAATAAAAAAGTAAGACAATGATAGTAACTTTAGGTAGCTAAGTATGTTTAAGAAGGTTGTTCACTATTGTTTCACTTATTGCGAAACACAGGTATAAATGTATATTTCGAATGATAGACAAACTGGCACCGAACCGTAGTAACTTCACCCTTAGAAAAGATATTTACGAAGGGAAGATACGTGATCTATAGAAAAGGGTATTTCCAATGATACCATTTACTACAGTTGTATAAACAGAATTACATACAACTTTGTTTCATGAATGTATTGGGCAAGTCTTGTCTCTGAATTTTAATAGGCATAGCACGAATGAACAGTTCGGTAATATGACAGTGGCCTGCTTTCCTTGCTAAATAACGTAAATACCTATCTTTCTTTCAAATGGTAATCAGAGATCATGGCTCATCATCCATTTCGTCAAGCTACTCAGATTATTCTCCCAAACGTTTGAGTAGGTGTCCACTACCTCCGGTCGGATTACAAAACAAACTGTGTAGTCCATATTCCTGACTCACTGATTATAAATGGTACTATATAAAACGATCAGTGTTATTTATGGTTACTGAAAATACCACCAACCAATGAATACCACTTTTATACAGAAAAGTTTAGTCAAAATTTATCTATCTACAAAATTATTATGTAGGAGATGCAGCAAGAGAAATGTATGCCACAGTAATATCTTTGACTGGGAAACATCATTATCACTTGAAAAGCGAAAACAGTGTGTATCCCATGGATACTATTAATTTGACGTCCCAAAAAACAAGTTGTGAACATCTTCAGGAACTGAGATCCTATTCTCGACTTTTTTAATTTGCTGTCAATTCTAGAAAGGGAGACCAACAACCAAAATACTACATTTAGATGCCTAAATGAATAAAAAATGTGCTTTTTTCATGCTGAGAACAGATACAAATGAAATCTTGAAGTAGGTCAATAAGTGAATTGACTTTTCTGATGCCTATATATGGGATAGCACGTTTGCAAAAGTTATAAGAAAGAATTTAAAACATGTACTATATAAATTTATGTTAATATGAGCGGCATCAACATAAACCCATTTCATAATATTTGCATTTTATTTACTCGCTGATCAACGTACTTAAATTATCTGGAAATAGTATTATTTCTTGGTAGCAACAAATGAAAGTACTTGCAGCAGGAACTTCCTACTAATATTGGCCATGTTCCTTTCACCGATAACTGAACGCCATTTTAGACATTCTAGTAGTTTTACTTACAGTGTGTCTGTGGATAACTATCCTGACTGGCAAAATGAAATCAAACTAACAATATATATATATATATATATATATATATATATATATATTTGAGCTGTATTCATTCTAAAAGGAACTCACAGCAAAGAATAAAAATGTTTAATATGATACGAAGCTTAAAAAGTGAAATACCTGTGAGGGAATGGCAAAAAAGTTATGAATAATTCAAAGGCTTAATCGGACATCAGGTGGATTTTCCAGCCATGGGAAGAATAAATGACTTCGTATTACACGCATGGAGAATTTGATCATGAAATAAAATGCATATATGCAAAAAATGATTTTTTCAATTTATCTGAGCAGTTAACCCAGAAATGAAGATTCAGGCAAAGCTAAAGACCGGCTTCAATCTTCCTCTGATGAGTTATCTATTTTTTATGTTTAATATTTAGACAGCAGTATCGTTTCAAATTAAGACATCCTAGGAGTATCATAATATAATTGGTCTATCTATGTAATCTTGACCAGCAACTCTACTCCCAGTGGTATCAAAAGTACTGGAAAGTATTATTGACGACCACATCAGGGAACATTTCGATAGGACTAATATACTACATGAAGCCCAACATGGTTTCAGAAAAGGCAGATCCTGCGTCACTAACCTACTGTCAGCTTGGGACGACTGGACATCATGCTGGGACATGAACGTACCAGTCCATGTGGTCTTCCTAGACTTTGAGAAGGCATTTGACACTGTTTACCATGACCATGGCGGGACAAGCTACGCAGAAGTTTACCGAAGATCAGGAACCTATACCTCACAATCAAGAAGCGAGCACAAAGAAATCAAATTGGTTTATACTAGCTCGTAAAAACGATATTGGATATTGGATATTGTCAGCTTCTTGTGTATAAATTTCATCCGCAGACAATTTTCAATAATTTTTCTCTCAATATGACGTGATTTTAATTGTTTCATTATATGAACGGAAAGTTGAAATGATTAAACAGAAAATTACTACTTGAAAATATCAACAAAATAATATATACACATAATAAAAAGTAAACCCTTTTACCTGACGAATTAACTCTGAGAAGTGTTCGGCGTAGTAAAATTTCTCTTTTTCAATGCATTTTAGGAAAGCTAGAACAAAATTAATCGCCTTAGGAGGCATTTCGTCTGCTTTGTAAAGTATCGGTGACTTTTGTCGTTTAATAACTTCCAGATTGTCATAAAAGTTTGGCAACCTGGAAAATATTCGGCAGAAAAAATCTTACAGCTTGGGCAGTGTTATCCTATTTCCGTTTTCATCCTTGAAAAGCACTGTAAACTGACTGAGAATTTCAAGCTAATATTAAGTTTACTTATCGTCGATAAAAAGCTGTCGGTGTTTTTCGAACCGTAACAAAGACAGGCAGTTAGCTTTTAGGGTGGCGTCTTTCACATCATCCGTAGATAACTAGTAGCACACAGATATTAAGCGCTTAGACAAAATATTACCTGGGGAAATACCGCTGGTATGACAAGGAATTTGCCACTAAATTATTTAGAAGAAAGAATGGCCAAAAACTACCTTAGATAATTATTTTTCTGTGATTCATCGAGTAGATGTTTAAATCGTTCTCGATTCCTTTGAAAACCCCAGGCACATGATGGTCTACCCATTCTAACCGGCGTTTGACTTATGACCTTGACACCTGAGTAACACTCACATTGAGGAGGTAAAACAAATAATGATTCAGATTCAGATGATAAGGATAGAAGGCTCTTGTGACCTGTGTTAATCCTTGCAAAATATATCTCTGCCGAGATCTAACTTCTCTTTGAAAGCGTTCACCGATGGAGCTGGTACTACTGAATCAGGTAAGGAGTTCCAACCGTTGACCACTCTGTGAGAGAATCTAAATTCTGCACGTATTTTAATCGTCCTCGGTTTGAGCACCTTTTTGCGGCGACCCCGTAAATGTATCCCAGAAGATGAGAAAAGGTTAGAAAGGTCAGTTCCCAAATCACCCTTAAGTATACGATATGCTAAAATAAAGTCGCCTCTCTTCCTTCGGTATGATAACGGGAAGAGATTTAAATGCTCCATCCTCTCATCATAAGGAAGGTGTAAGATACCACTAACTAATTTTGTTACTACTCTCTGTACTCTTTCCAGAATATGTGCCTCCTTTTTGAAGCATGGACTCGTCGCTTGTATGCAGTATTCTAGATGAGGCCTGACATATGTTGTGTAGAGTGTTTGGAACATACCCTCGTCTAATCGTTTGAAAGCCCTTCGAATTGCCTATAGCATTCGAAAAGCCTTAGCTGTGGCTGCATTGCAATTTGCAGTTGTTTTTGAATCATTGCTGACAATTATTCCTAGGTCCTTCTGTTCCTTAACATCATGTAGTCCTGCGTCCCATAGGGAGCACGACGTATATGACTTCTGAACTAAGTGCATTACGGCGCTACTCCTAGCATTCATTTCCAAACTCCATAGGCTTGACCGCCCAGCTAATTTATCTAAATCAGTTTGTAGGGCCGACCTATCCTCGTTATTATTTAAAGTTTTCCACATCTTAATATCATCTGCAAATAATAATGAAGATGAAGAAAGCATCCCTGGTAATTTGTTAACGTATAATAGGAATAGCAAGGGACCTAATACAGTTCCCTGGGGCACACCACTGGATACTGCTTTCCATCCTGATAGTACACCGTTAACCCTAAATTTCTGCCTTCTATCCATTAGGTAGTCTCTAAAACACTTACATAGGCATTTGTCTAGTCCGAAACCTTTAAGTTTACTAAGGAGACCTAAGTGGGATACTTTGTCGAATGCCTTGCTATGACAAAAAAGACCACGTCCAACAGATGGTTTCTATCTCTGGCCTCAACCCAGTCTTTCCTAGCCAATAGTGGGTTTGTCAGGCAAGCTCTTCCTGGTCGGAACCCCATGCTGTTCCACAGCCAACAAGCCATGTGTTTCAACATAAGCTAATAGTTGATCCCTTACAATAGTTTCCAATACCTTTGCAATAATGCATGTCAGACTTACCGGCCTGTAGTTAGATACCAATTGCCTATCCCCGTCTTTGAAGATAGGGCTTATAATGGCACCCTTCCGGTCACTGGGTAGCTTAGCCTGCGCCAGAGACATTTGGAAAATCTCCGTAAGCGGAATATATATCATATCCGCCAAGGAAATTAACAGCTAAGGGTGGATTCCATCCGGCCCAGGTGATTTACCTGGCTTCAGTTTAGACAGTAGTTTGAGAACTTTCGTGTGCTCTACTACAACTGAGGGCATCTGAGTGGCGATGGCAGTGACCTCGCCATATCCTTGGGTGGTACTATCAAACCAGAAGACGTCACAGAAGTATTCAGAGAGGTTTTCAGCCTTTCCTTCGTCTGACTCAGCCTCTTCTCCACTAACGGTTATGAGTGACGGCATACCACTGCTAGTTTTAGTCCAACGTTTAATATACGAGTAAAGCCTTTTTGGTCGAATGCAGACGTACCCAGGTGTCAGCCACGTCTCATAAACCGTTAATGTCCAGCTCTTGCTGCACTCGGGCTCACGCTGTTCCTTGAAGTTTCTCAGAAACGCTTAGTAATAACGGACGAAAAAACCAACACACCAATTGGCGACTCGAGGATTCTTTATTGTAACACCAACATATAAACACTGTTACAACTAAGGTCTGTGAACAAATATTACAATAATAAATCACAATATTACTTCTGACGGTTTACTGCTGACTTCTTTCTGAACAGCGACCGATGAGACGATGACTGTCGTATTGATGCCTCCGCGAACATTGGGGAAGTTGGTTTTGAGCAAACAACCATGAATTGATCGTTCAATCTTCAACTACATTGACACCAGGTATGAGTGGAATTAAGTCTACACTCACCAACAACCATGTCTCAGTGATAGCAACCACATCAGGTTGTAGTCTTTCAGATAATTCTCCTAATCCGGCGAGCTTATTCCTAGGACTACATGCATTCGTATAACACACTGAAACACCTACGTGTTCATCTGTCTCATGAAGAGAGGTCGCGGCAGCATCGGTTTCTGAGACCTCTCCACCCAAAAACCCAATAACTTGATATCTCCGCCTTTCTCTAGCCTTGCCTTTAGTTCAGCCAAAGCTTCCCTTCTCTTGATTCAGTCTTATAAAGGCCAATCAAACCTTATTTTTAAACTTTAATCGCTGATTCTGAACTCGTTGTCGAGGATGGTTCTCCTCTCTGTTTCTTTCCCTACAAGTATCATAAGCAGTCGTCGAGAAGTTTCCGTAGTATCAGGTTTTCGTTTTCGGATCCTCATTGCCTTCCCTACCTTTACTCCAGTTGTTTTTTGGGAAGTATTTCCCGGATAATTGAGCTAATAGCCTTCAGATCATCTGCATGTCGGGCAGCTGGATCTGTGTTCTTAGATTCCTCCGAATTCCAGATGATAACACGGTAACTGAAGTCCGTGGGTTTCTGAGTTTGGCTGGTACTAACAGCCGTCGAGACCTTGTTGGCAAACTTGGCTACTGTTTCTTTCCTGGTTTTATTTTGCTTCTTACCTTTTGGCACAAACCAAGTGGAGTCGGTTTCTCCTACTCTGTTTTCGCCGCGACTAGAAGCGATTCGTGCACTAGACACGCTGCGCATTTGCCTTGCTATTTCACAGGCTGGTGTTGCCACGCCGGCACTACTTACCCTTTTGGATTTCCGTTGTCTTTTGCGCTTTGCAGCAACAGGTGTTTGGGCATTTTGTGCTTCCTTTGCTTCTGACGCTTCAGGAGGTGATGCACCCCGAGTCTTACAACTAAATCCTGGTGCAGGCTTTTCAACTATGTCTTTCGACAATTTCTTGGACACAAAGAGCCCTACTGCCTCTTGGATGAGGACGTCTAACGGGTTGCTGCAAAATTTGCACAGCCATGGAGATGATGGCTTGCAACATCTCTTATAGGCTACTGGTGATAAACCAGTTCAAACTTTGTGGAACCATAGGCTGCAGTTGTCAAACTGCATCTGTTGAGTACGTAACAATGTGATTGTACACTTTTTGGTTACTTGTATAAATTCGAGATATTGTACATAATTTTTGTTTAAAACGCTTCTTGTTGAAATATACATAACTTCCGTGTACAATTGAAAAATACACTCTGCTGTTGGAGACTTCGTCTTCTCCCTGGTCCCTTCTGCTTACTTGCTCCACTCACACCGTGTTGTATACTTCGGATTTATTGTAGGAGCCTACTACTTTCAACCGAAGACATTTCTACAACCGGAACACAGCAGCTACAGCAGACGCAGTCCAAACAGTTAACGTGCCTGTGGATTATATAATTAATTTGTAGCCGAGGACTTATACTTTATAACCAAGTAATCCTTTTTGTTGCTATAACTCGTCACTGTATTTTTGGTAATATATTGTGATTTAACACTCCACTGACTTGGATTATTACTTTTATATTTGGAATGTTAGTGAACTCTAATATTAGTCCCCTACAAATTAATTGGTGAGCCCGATAAGAACACGGATTATTTTGGCATATTTATATTTTTATTTTTGCTATTTTTATATTCATTGTGATTTTGTGTGTGGTTTATATTTGTATCCTAATTTGCACCAATAACCTCATATTTATAATGTCATCACCTCAGTCCGGTACATCAAACGAGCAGACAACTAATAGCGAGACAAATGCCACAATAAATGCCATCACTGATTTTCGTTTACCCCAATACGGTTTCGCAGAACCAAGGATTTGGTTTGCGGTAATTGAACCGTTGCTAGAAGCACGGGGCATTAAGTCCCAAATAGCCAAATATGGTATGGTGCTGGCAGAACTCCCTCCGTCAGTATTGACAGAAATCAGCGATTTCATCGAAGATCCTCCGACAGAACATCAATTTGATAAACTTAAAGCCCTCCTCATACAACGTACCAGTCTGTCGGATGAGAAAAGAATCCAACAATTGATCACAGGCTGTGATCTAGGCCCACGTAAACCATCCCAGCTACTCAGGCACATGCGCCAGTTAATCGGAAATCATAAAGTAGACGAGGTCGTGCTGAAACAGATGTGGTTGCAACGTTTACCTAGAAATGTCCAGCAAATTTTAATCATCTCAGGAAAGTCATATGACTTAGACCAACTAAGTGACATGGCAGATAGTATTTTGGATGTTTTATCCGATAACACCATAAGTCACGTAGCATCTGATAGTGCCACACCGTGTCATTCCACACCCACGGCAGACACACCGATACTCGCCGCCATTGCAGACTTAGCGGCAAGGATTGACAATTTGGAAACTAATAAGTCTGATCGACAAGTCCGGAGACGGAGCTCACAGAGAAGGTCACCATCACGACGACGATCCTTCTCACGACAGCGTTCTTACACGTCTTCTCGGGATAGCAATATATGCTGGTATCACTGGAAGTTTGGACGTCATGCCCTGAAATGTGTAAAACCGTGCAGCTTTAGCGAAGCCAACCAGGCTCAGGGAAACGCCTCAGCCAGACAGTGATGGCGACAGCTGTTACTGGCAATCACCACAGTCGCCTTTTTTATGTGAGGGATTTGACTACCGGCACATTATTCCTGGTAGATACAGGCGCCGAGGTCAGTGTTATTCCCCCCTCACTATCCAGGCGATCAGCC